AAGAAAGAAAGAAAGAAAGAAAGAAAGAAAGAAAGAAAGAAAGAGACGGAGGGGGAGGAGAAAGAAAGAAAGAAAGAAAGAAAGAAAGAAAGAAAGAAAGGGTAAAAAGAGAAAAAAGAAAAGCGAAAAAAGGAGAAAGAAAGAAAGAAAGAAAGAAAGAAAGAAAGAAAGAAAGAAAGAGTAAAAAGAGAAAAAAGAAAAGAGGGGAAAGAAAGAAAGAAAGAGACGGAGGGGGAGGAGAAAGAAAGAAAGAAAGAAAGAAAGAAAGAAAGAAAGAAAGAAAGAAAAGGTAAAAAGAGAAAAAAGAAAAGAGGGGAAAGAAAGAAAGAAAGAGACGGAGAAAGAGAAAAAAGAAAAGCGAAAAAAGGAGAAAGAAAGAAAGAAAGAAAGAAAGAAAGAAAGAAAGAAAGAAAGAAAAGGTAAAAAGAGAAAAAAGAAAAGAGGGGAAAGAAAGAAAGAAAGAGACGGAGGGGGAGGAGAAAGAAAGAAAGAAAGAAAGAAAGAAAGAAAGAAAGAAAGAAAGAAAAGGTAAAAAGAGAAGAAAGAAAGAAAGAAAGAAAGAAAGAAAGAAAGAAAGAAAGGGAAAAAAGAAAAAAGTAAAAGAAAAGAAAGAGAAAACAGAGAAAGACAGAGAGAGTAAAAGAGGGGGGAAAAAGAAAAAAGAAAAGAGAGGAAAGAGAAAAAAGACAGAAAAAAGAAAAAAGCGAGGAAAGACAGAGAGAAAGAAAAGGGAGAGAAGAGAAAGAAAGAAAGAAAGAAAGAAAGAAAGAAAGAAAGAAAGGGAAAAAAGAAAAAAGTAAAAGAAAAGAAAGAGAAAACAGAGAAAGACAGAGAGAGTAAAAGAGGGGGGAAAAAGAAAAAAGAAAAGAGAGGAAAGAGAAAAAAGACAGAAAAAAGAAAAAAGCGAGGAAAGACAGAGAGAAAGAAAAGGGAGAGAAGAGGAAAAGAAAGGATCGGGCCCGTCGTGATGGGCCTGAGCCGTATTTTTAAACTTCCCACGCGCCCCCTGCAGGGCCATCGCAGACCCCCAGCGGTTCACGCCCCCATATCGGGACCCGCTGCCCCAGACGACGACACCGATTGACCGTCACATCCCCGGCTAAACGAAGACACCGATAAAACCATTGGCTCCAGCCCAGAATAATTAACCCGCCCGGAGCGCCTGGCTTCGTCTCTGGTTCGGCCCCTCCCGGATCGGCCCCTTGGCACAGCTGGGCTTTGGGGGCCAAAATATCCCGTATTCCCGTGGAGCCACCGTCATCCCGTTGGGCACTCCGGGAAATCCCAGTGGGGTGACATCCGGGCGCCCCGCCCCACAGGGACGATCCCTTTCTGCGCTGGGACTTTCCACCTCTCCGGCCCAGCCTGCCTGGGGACTTTACGTTGGTGCTTTCTTGGGTGGGACAGGCAGGTTGCCTGGCAGGAAAGCCCCGCCCCTCTCACTCCCCCCCCACCACACAGTTTTGTGTGCTCCAGCCCCACGGCGGGGGCGGAAGAGAGGGGGCGCAAACCGGGGGCCCGACGGATGCTGTGGTCTTTTAGCCACCTCCCTGTGCCAGCCTGGTCCCGACGCCTTTGGGCAGCCCTGTCCCCAGGGGCCCAGGCCGATGAGCCCCTCATTGTCCCCATCCGTGTGCGGAATAAATTTTGTGCTTGTGCACTGTGGCAGGGCAGTGGGCACCACCCCTCAAAACACAGGGGGCGCTCTGCTAATCAGCTGGGGGCATTTGAATGGGGCAGTGTGCACCACCCCTCAAAACACAGGGGGCGCTCTGCTAATCAGCTGGTGCCATTTGAATCTCTCTGGGGTGCCCCCCCCCAGTACACAGGGCACACTGTGGTGTGGGGCTGGGGAGGAGGGGTCCCTGTGGGTTTGGATCCCAGTGTACAGGGTGGGGGGTGTCCTATAGGTCTGGGCCCCAGTGTGCAGGTTGGGGGGTGTCCTATAGGCTATGGGTCCGGACCCCAGGGTGCGGGTTGCAGGGTGTCCTATAGGTCCGGATCCCAGTGTGTGGG